CCTCCTCCCTCCTCCCTCCTCCCTCCTCCCTCCTCCCTCCTCCCTCCTCCGTCTTTCCTCCTCCCTCCTCCCTCCTCTTCCTCCTCCCCCTCCTCCTCCTCCTCCTCCTCCTCCTCCTCCTCCTCCTCCTCCTCCTCCTCCTCCTCCTCCTCCTCCTCTGCCTCCTCCTCCTCCTCCTCCTCCTCGCGCAGGGGGGCGCCGCCATTCAGGGCGTGGCTGACTGCGAGCTCAGAGGGCTGAGGGCTGCCGCGCTCCGCGCCAGAAAGGCACCTTCCCTGAGAGGGGGCCTCCCTCGGGCCAGCCATGGCCAGCTGGCGCCAGCCGGCTGGAGGCGCAGGCCTTGCCAATGCTCGGACGTCCATTCCCCGTGCCTCTTTCGGTTTCGTGCGCTGATGCTTCGCGGGATGGTCCAGGCTGCTACTCGAGGGCCCTCGCAGAGAAGGCTGCACACGCCCGAGCGATGCCAGGAAGCCGCTCTTGCTAGCCACGGCGCTGGCCATTCAGACTTGCGCCCCGAAATAGCTTGCAGCAGCGTCTTCCAGCGATCGCTGCAGCGGGTGCTGCTGGATAATAGCGCGCGACCGCTGGCCGGGCACCGCGCTCCGTGGGCGCGCGCTGCGACGATCCCAGCCAAGCGCTGGTGCTCACGATGCAGCGCGTCGGCGGGAGCTTGGACGACCCTCTCGCGCTGAGTGACGAGAAGGGCGAGCGCTGGGACCTGCTGATGTGTTTGCTGGCCTCCTTGGGTCCCAAGAGGCAGGAGGGGCGGCCCGACAAGCCTCGGATGTTGACGCCCGCCTTCTGGCGCTCCCTCAACGAGCTCCTGCACGCGCCCTCTGAGCGCGGCCAGAGCCTCCACCACGAGCGGGCTCGGCGACGCCTGCTTCGGTGGCAGGCCCGCCTCTGCAGGGGAGGGGGGATGGGCTGGGGCGCACGGGCTTCTGCCTGTGCTGCGGAGGCTCGCGTGGCACCCTGCATCTCAAGTGTTTCCCTGGGCCCAGCGCACCACGCCTGGAGGGCGGACGTTGCGGACCCCGCGGTGTGCTATGCTGGCGCAGGAATGCTGGCGTCTGGGGAGGAAGCTGGGGAACGCTTCGCACGAGTGCCCTTAGGCGTCGCGCCCAGGGGGGAAGCGAGAAGGGGCGGGCATGCCCAGAAGGCTCGGAAGCTCCCCAGGCTTCTGAGAAGTTTCTAAGCCTTCCCCGAATACACAGAAAACTTCTCAGACTATCGGGGGGGTTCTGTGAAGCCCCGCCACCTTCTCACAAGGTCTACCCCTTCTCACTTCCCCCCCTCGCTTGCCGCCGAACTCTTGCCTGACCTTACCCCAATGTTTTCGGCGGCCGCCGCTGTCGTTTGCGCTTGGCACCGAACCTGGGCAGAGCGCTGACTTTCGACCGGCCTTATGCTGGACGGCGGGCACTTCCACTGATGCAGCTTGCTTCGATGCAGGATTCCCCACCTTAAGGGCGGCTGGAGCCCGTTTTATGGGCCGTCCCGGCGCATTCGCTATTCACCCGCCTTAGACTTAGTAGTCTCGGTAACGCCTGGGACTGGCCCCCCTCCCCTGGTCACGTCACGATTCGCGCCGGCTCCGCGTGGAAATGAGACATTCCTGATCATTCCCAGGCGGCGCTGGTGCGAATCGTGACGCGTGTGGCCCCCTCCCCCCTCCCTCTCCCCGGGTCACGCCCGTTCTCGCCGGGGGGGAAAACAAATCCTGGCCGGGAAGTGGTAGCCTAAGACGCCAAGTTTCGTCTTTGGGGGCACTCTGCGCTGGGTGTTGCCCCGAGAGCTCTGCCCGTCCCAGTCCGCCAACCACGGGGAGGACGGTGCTCTCTGATGGCGTCAGGCGCACTGCTGGCGTCACAGACCGCACGCAGACTGCGCGGCCACATGGAGGGCGCCTGGAGCCGCGCCGACTGAAGCCGACACGCGCGACCGTCAAAAGGTCTCGAGGCCCGAGGAGCTCGAGGCAGCACGGTGGGGGCTGAGGGTGGGGTCGGGGGAGCGCGGGGAGGAGAAGAAGGAGGAGGAGGAAGGGGCGAAGGAGGAGGAGGAGGAGGAGGAGGAGGAGGAGAAGGAGGGGGAAGGGAGCGCGGGGAGCATCGCACACCGGAGCCCGCGCACGCGGACTCGGCCCCGGGGGGCGAACGCAGGCGCGGCGGCTCGACCGCGCTCGGGCCCCGCGGCGCGTGCTTCTCGGGGCCGCGCCCCGTGCCCAAGTGGCCGAGGCCAATCGGACTCTCGGCGCCCCGTCTGCCCAGCGGGCCCATGGGGCCTCCTCCTCCTCCTCCTCTCCATCCTCCTCCTCCCCTCCTCCCTTTTTTCTCCTCTTCTTTTTTCCTCTCCTCCTCCTCCTCCTCCTCCCCTCCTCATCCACCCCCCTCCTCCTCCCCATCCTCCTCCTCCTCCTCCTTCTCCTCCTCCAGTCTGCCCAGTGGGCCCATGGGGCGCGACCGCCGGCGAGAGGCTGCCTAACGGGCGTCCTGGGCTGGCCACTGCGGCGTCGCAGAGGCGCTGGCCTGCCGCCCCTGGACAGCGCTGCGCGGCTCCACCTTGCCACGTTCGGGTGGAGCGCGGGACGGCCCCCAGGGGAGCACACGTTCGAGCGGGGTGCCGAGGGAGGCGCAGACCCATGAGGACACAGCTCCTGGGAGGCCTTGGCGAGAACGAGCAAGGGCTGCGACGAACAAATCGAGGGGGGACGCCGTGCCGCCGCAAGGCCCCCCCCCCGGTTGGTGGGGGCGAGCCGTGCCCGATCCTCCTCCTCCTCCTCCTGCTCCTCCTTCTCATCCCCGCCCTCTTCTGGTTAGTATTATTATTAGCATGCGCATTATTTTTTCGTATGCTTCTTCTATTATTAGTCTTCCTATTCGTATCATTAGTCTTATCATTCAAATGATTCGTCGTATTCTTCGTCGCACTCTAAATAATTA